GCCCAGCAATTCCTTCGCTCGCAATGAACTGGAAGCTCCGAGTTCTTCTGGATGCGGTCGTCTTGTTGCTGCTGCTAGCACTCGATGCCCGGGATCTATGGTTCAAGACGCGTTGGCTCGGACCCAACGATGCCTTCGCTTTCACGACCAAGAATTCCGTCCTATTGCTGGATCCGCATCCAGCGGATGAAAAGCGTTCGAGTGAAAGCTTAACCGGATGGCGTGTCTTTCATGACACTTGCAGTGAACTTCGAGCTCTTACTGGGAATATCAAGAGCGGTAACATTCATTCTCACTACCTTCACGTCCTGGCAGCCAATTGTTCGGCCCCCGACGGGTTAACCGAAGAGATGGCACCTCAGCTCTCTCCGATGGTTCTCACCAGTGATATCCGCGTTGATGCCATGGCCTGGGCAGCGTGTAAATTACTGTACGTATCACGACGGCCGCCGCTGTGCCAGGATGCGATGGTCACGAGCTTCTTGCATAAGTATCGGCTCGGATCACCTCAAGTGAGTAGCGCTATGATGGCCCCGCCAATGTCCGGGGCTGAGCGTGAACTACGAGCTCTTCTTGATTTAATCGGCAAGAGCGTCCCGCTTAGCAGAGTGGTTTGCGTTGGAGGAGTTGAGATCGACCAGCAGCCAGAACAGGAGTCTTTGAGGTGGATCTTTGGCTGTGCTAGTCCGGATGTTCCAGGCAAAAGTGCAGCCTTTGTCGGACACGTCGCGACGGGTTTCGCTGCGTTACAAACCGACAAGGCCCGACTTACAGCGGACGAAGTCGACGTGCTGGGCATGCGCTTCATTTTCCGTCAGAATGCGGTCCGAAGCTATAAGTATCTACCCTCCTCTTCGGGCGTTCGAGGTCGACTAGAGGTGTCCACAGCGTTGAACTTGAGCTGTTCCGGATTCCTCTACAATGTGATGATTCTAGTCGATGTGGTACTACTGATAATGCACACGTGGACGTCAGTTGAGTTACTAGAGCGACTAGTTCTCCCACCGTTGTTGCGTACTCCTACCAAGCAAGAGATGCGAGATCTA